ATTATTACCTAAAGTCCTTCTTTTATATTAACCTTTACTCTTTGTGTTCTGTGGTTTAAGACAAACTAAATGTGTTATGTATCCACCATCACAATCTTACACAGAAGCATTTCACTGTCCTCAAAATCCTCCGTGCTCCTCCTAGTCGTAGCTCTCCCCTTCCTCTTTGCCACCCCTGTTTATCCCTGGCAACAAATGATGATGTTCTACCTCTAGATTTTGCATTTCCCAGAATATCATGTATTTGGAATGATGTTGTAAGTGGCCATTTCAGACTTGTTTCTTTCATGTAAAAATATGCACTGAAGAGGCCGGGTGTGGTGGCTCACGCCTATAATCCCAGCACTTTGGGAGGCCTAGGTGGGCAGATCACGAGGTCAAGAGATCGAGACCATCCTGGCCAACATAGTGAAACCCCGTTTCCACTAAAATACAGAAATTAGCTGGGCTTGGTGGCCTACGCCTGTAGTCCCAGCTACTTGGGAGGCTGAGGCAGGAGAATTGCTTGAACCCAGGAGGCAGAGGTTGCAATGAGCCGAGATCGTATCACTGCACTCCAGCCTGGCCTGGCAACAGAGCAAGATTGTCTCAAAATAAATAAATAAATAAATAAATAAATATATATATGCATTTAAGGTCTCTCAGTACCTTTGTTGATTGATAACTCATTATTTTTATTTATTTATGTTAAAAAAAATTTGTTTTGTTAGAGACAGGATCTCAAGCTCCCAAGTTCAGGTGATCCTCCCACCTCAGCTTCCCAAAGTGCTGGGATTGCACTTGTGATCCACCATGTCTGGCCACTCATTTCCTTTCATCACTGAATAACATTCCATTCTATGGGCATACAATAGTTCATTTTGTTATTCACCTATTGAAAGGCTCACCTTGAGCCTGGTATAGTGCCTCATCCCTGAATTCTCAGCTACATGGCAAACCAAGGTGAGAAGATTGCTTGAGCCCAGGAGTTAGAGACTAGCTTGGTAGATACGATGTGAATTCTTGTCTATTTAAAAAA